TGTCCAGCTTTTCATCCACCAGTACCCCCAAGTCCTTCTCAGCAGGGCTGCTCTCAATCCCATCATCCCCCAGCCTGTAGTGATACCAGGGGTTGCCCCGGCCCAGGTGCAGGACCTTGCACTTGGCCCTGTTAAACCTCATGAGGTTCACACAGACCCACTTCTTGAGCTTGTCTAGGTCCCTCTGGATGGCATCCCTCTGGCGTGTCAACCGCACCACTCAGCTTGGTGTCATCTGCAAACTTGCTGAGGGTGCACTCGATCCCACTGTCTATGTCATTGATGAAGATATTAAACAGTACTGGTCCCAATACAGAACCCTGTTTGCATGAAATATACCAAACTCCACACACAACCCCCTTGAGAATGATGGTACAAGCAAAGCATTATACACATTGCCTTGTTGAACACTCCTTTTACCCTTTAACACTGTTCAACACTTTAACCACTGGCAACAGCTCTATTCTATTAAAAAAAAAAAAGGAGAAAGTTCAGATAACTGAATCTCCTTGCAAAGGATCCATCTGACAAAAGTGTGGGAGTAACCCATTCTTTAATAGACATTAATACACCATTATTAAGACTTGGCTTTCTGTTTCTCAGTTTTTCAGGCTTTTAGTGGTTTGGGGGATAGCTTGGTGCTCAACAACTTAAAAACATCATTTCTACTCTACAGCACCTCCAAAAATGCATCAGCTTCAGCAGTCACGATGATGGGATGTGACTTTTTCCAGCTGTCTCTGTACCTTTCCATGCAGATATGTACAATTCGCAGCCTATCTCCCTAGAAACCCATCCTCTCCATTTTTCAGAAATGAAGACAAACTTCTTCCCTGACCAATGAAAACTGAAAATGAAATCAAGAGCAGGACAAATTATTTTATCAGCAGAAAGCAAAGATAGGTGTTTCACCCACCCACACTGTACACAGAGTTATGCCAGTTACGGCAAGGCATACAAACAGCTCTGTCCCCACCCACACATTCATTACTAGCACTCATTTGTCTGGACAAAAATGTATGCTTTCAGCTTTCTAGTATCTCTTCTCCTACAGAAAAGTGGGAAGCCCCAAAGTCAGAAACAAATTCAGGGAAGGTGCCCATTTCCTCCTGTTGAACTCTTTGGAATATCTTCTGAGAAGGCATTTTGTTCATAGGAACTATATAGTCTTTATTTGCTTGAAAGACTGTGGTTTCTTAATCATTTAATCTTAGTAATTGGAACAATGAATTAAAAAAACCCAATTCATTCATTGTCTTTAAAAAAATTTAATAATAATCTTAAACTACTTCAAGGGCATGTCTACAGTGTACTGCACAGTGCTGCACTGATGACCCCAAAAGGTCAGGCAAGTCATTTGGGTATCTTGCAGAAAGGATAGGTTGAATCTAAACCGAAGTGCACCTCATTGCAAAGTATGCTCAATAAGCATCAATGCAGCTATCATTGCCTTATGGTCTACTGTGCAATGAAACCATACCCTTAATGTTTAGGGAACTGATCTTTTTATATTGTTTCCAACAATACTATCTCACTAAAGCATTATAAAATGCACTGAATGTATGTGCTATGATAGTGTTGCATTGTATTCATTTGGTTGTGTTTTTAAGAAGCTGCTGTGGAATGTGCAATTAGAATAGCACATATATACCTGGAATTGCAGAAGCTGTCACAGCAACTACACAGATGTAACAGCAAGCCACAATGCAAAAACAGTTTTTACTAACTGTATCATACAGTAACAGTAAAAACAAGAGAAGTCCTCCTGGCATACCATCACCAGAGTTTCACCACCCCTTGTGCACACGAGGGAAAGGTACAGTAATAGACTGCTCAAAAATACCATTAAATTGCAACATTTTAGGATCCAACTCTGCAGTCCACAGTGCCATAGGTAGTCTCACTCACTTCAGAGACATTTTTCACACATGTAAAAACTGTTCACTCAAGTAAGGGTTTCGGGGCTGTCACTCCAGCAGCCAGCCACATCACTGACAGTACTTTACTACTGTTCAAGCACTACCTATTTTCTGCCAGGGATTTACCCTGCTGGCCACCCACAGTACAAATGTGGCCCATTTGTACAACCCAGGCCATACTCTGGAGAGAACTAAATAAATCCCTTGATGTGGTGACTACGGGAGCAGGAAAACCAGCTGCAAACTGAAGAATAGAGTGTGCCAGGGTTCCAGTCCTGTGCTGTACGGAAACAAGACAGACTGCATCACATGGCCATGGCACCCCAGAACATTACAACACCTCAAAATGGTCCTACTTATATCAGCACAAGGTAAGACAGCAGGTACTAGACAATATGAGGCATACAGAATTGGCATTCAAATTGAAAGAACTTAAGAGCACACAGTTAAATATACCCCAGTAATCATACTTCCTCAAGGGTGGTAAGGATTGTCTTCTAGATTTAAAAGTATTGCAGAATCAAATCACAAGTTCTGTTAACAAAATTTTTTATCCCCTGTTCACTGCAAAACCAAAAGAAATAAATAGAATGAGTTAAGATATTTACCTGTTATGAATAGGTCCTCTGAACTTTGGGTCAAATTTCCTTGGTTCACCTGCATTTAAAATAAAACAGTATAAAAATATGCCCTTATTTAAAATAGAATCTATAGAGAGGGGGTGTTAACAGCAGTCTTTGAAGAATGTCTTCCATCTATTCCTGTTTAATCAGTTCTGTTAAAATCATTTCATGCAGGCAATATCAGTAATTCACCAATACAATTACCTAGTTTTTGTAGATGAGATCAAAGCTTTTTTCTTCTAGCTTAAAAATTTTGACGGCCTCTCATTTACCACACAATAAATTACCTTTAATGTACATCCTATCACTACACCTATGCACAGTGTTCACAGTAGAAAGCTGCTGATATTTGAGAGATAAGGATTACATCTCACAGTCACATGCTAAGTGTGTTTGGCAGCAAGTGAGTGAATCTACCCCTCTGGAGCTACAGGCTAAGCCCTTCTGATTTTTCTCTAAAAGAACAGTTTGGAGTCACGTCTGTACTTAATGTTACACTTACAATCTTGCAGAGTTATTCTTACTTCCCACTGCTGTGGTTACAGGACTTTATAGACACAGAGTTGCAGGTTTGCCCTTTTTGCATTGGGCTTATCAGATGAAAAAGCATGGCTGGAGACTGCAGAAATTCAAGTGCTGACCTTGCTCTACACTACCCTGCACAGGCAGTGTAACTGCACTAGCTTCTCCAAAGCCGGAGACGAGGTACAGCGTTGCAACGCAGGCAGAAGAGCACGTGTTTCATGTATCTTCTCTAACTCTCAAGTACATGCACCCACCACATATCCCAGTGTAGGAAGCAGAGCAGGTTTGAAAGGTATAGTTATGCATACATCCCTGAATGTGGTTGTTGCTTTATACGAATCTCAGCATGACTAGAAGGTCAAGTCATTGACATTCAGGTCCCTCCTAGAAACAAGCAGTAACATCTGGCCAGAGTTTACAGATGGAAGGAGTCAAACGTGATACATTTTTTTCACATGGCTATCCTGGTTAGCATAGTTCCAATTGATTCATTCTACACATAAGCAAATTATATCAAGAAACTGCCGAATACTAACACACCAATCTGTGCTTCAAATGTGGACTTGAATAAGATGAATTACAAAAAAAAAAAAGAGTAAAAAATATTTATGGTAGAATTTAAATTTTCAAGTTTCAAGCTACTGTATGAAGAGAAAGAAGCAGTCCCTCATTCAACAGACCAGGATTTGGATTTTTCCTTTTGAAGCTAGCTATTCAGCTTTATGCGATTTTTTTTAAGTTCGGTAATTATGGCGATTTACTGAACCAAACTTTGTGCAATGAAAAATTACTTCATTCAAATGTCAACGCTGCAATACAAATTACTGTTTCAGAGTGCTTTCTCACTGCCTTCTTAAGGATATCCGCTTCTGAATATACCTGATATTAAAGGGTGTTACCAGCCTAAGTTTTCCCCCGCCCACAGAAAAAATACTTATTTTCTTCAATTAGAGAAGAATTCAGCAACTTCTCAAAAGCAGAATTTACTTATTAACTAAATGCCAGACTTTGTTCTTGGTTTATATCAGAAAAACCTTATCAAAATACACACTGACCAGTACAATAAACACAGCAGATAATAAAATTCTATTTGCCCTTCATCTGAGGTGTTCAGGTCCACCTTACCAAGCTCCTAAAACAACAGGTAAAACTTGGGAAAGGTAAAACTTTGAAGGAGTGATGTGTGACAGTAATGCTAGGGAGTGGAAGATGTAAGTTATGCTGTTACACAGGCACTAGGGGAACCCGCTATGGTCCAGAAAGCGAGTGTACCATACACAATACCTAATGCTGGGCCAAAACCTGTATTTTGAAGAACATTTTTGTACAGCAATTTCTACAGAATAAGTACTTCTACAAAATAATTTATCTCCAGAACAATTCAGAGTCTGTAACGTTACTCCCCATTGACAAGTTCTGGCCATAAGGCATACTGAAGTGAGCCTTTGCTCATTGCTCATAGAGGACCCAAGTTTAGCATGTAAGAACAGCCACGCCAGATCACAAGAAAGATCCATTGAACCCATACCCTGTAACTAACAAGGGGCCATAGTGAATACCTGAGGAGAAATGCAAAATCAAGGCAAACGTAGTGGTATTTCCCTAAAATTGAGATTACAGAGATTTGCAACTGCACTTTTCTGAACCAAAGGTACTGACTTTGTATTTAATAGTTGTAGGTGAATTTCTTTCTCATTCATTTCATAAATCTCTATTTAACTTGCATACACTTTAACAATCTGCAATGCCCTACATCACAGAGTACTGCAGGTTAATGAAACATTGAAGTACTACCTGCTTTTGTCTGTTTTAAGCTTGCCATCAGTCAGCTCATACCTGTATGGCAGCATGGCATGCTACTAATAATTTTACAGGTTATTATATTCTTCTTCACTTGTCTACCTTCAAGAGTCCTAGTCTGTTCAATTGTTTCTCGTACATAAGCCATTCCACACTTTTGGTCATGCTTATATTCCTTTTCTGTACCTTTTTCAGTGCTACTGTATATCACTGGAAAAGGAAGGGCTAGAACTGCACAGGATATTCACCACAAATATTGGCTGTGATATATACAACCATATAATATCTTTTTCTATTTGATCTCAGACCATTGCTACTAATTCTTTCTTACAGTCTACTTGCTTTTGGGGGCAAACGCTTTCACTGAATCATCCATTAAGACCCCAAGTTCTCACTCTTGAAAGTTAGTAGCTAGCTCCATCCCACTGCTGGAGGAACCTGCTCTCCAAAGGTATTCAATATTTTCCTTAACAATTTGAACAATGAAGTAGAATGTACACTTTGAAACTGTGCAGGTGACAAGTGTTAAAATACTTCTGGAGACAGAATCAAAGGGATTTTGATAAACAATTTAACAATTCAAAGTGATTTTCGTAAACTGACGAAAGTTATAAAGACAAACACTATTCACAAATCCATAGAGAATAATTGCTTTCAACAACACTGACGAGAAGAACCCTAAAGGATTATGGTAGACTACGAACTGAGAATGAGTCAGCAAAGCAATGTCTTTGCAAAAAAAAGCACAACTCATTCAAGAAGTGTGAGTACTGGTGAAGTCACTGTTCCTCGTGCTTGGGACATGTAAGGCCTCAGCTGAAAAACTATTTCTAGATCATGGCACTAGAATTTCAGAAGATAAAAAAAAAACTGGAGAGAGTAGAAGGACTGATTAAAAAGACGACACTAAGAGGTTTACAAAAAGCTGTAAAAGAATGCAAACTTCAATGACTGTGATTAAGGGAAGGAGCACAAAACAACGGTCTTCAAATACCGTATAAAAACAACAGTGATCAGTTGTTCCCAGCTTCCTCTATCAGAGAAAGAAGCTAACTTCATTTACAGCAAAGATAGTTTAGATTAGGCATTAGGAAACCTTTCAGAACACATGGGCTGGAACACATACACTGGAACAGGCTTTCCAAGCATACTTCTGAATTTTCCTCACCCTAAGAATTTAAGAATGGATTAGACAAAAACCTGCTGGGTAGGGAATAGGAAAGTGTGCCATGTCTCAGCACAGAGACAGCCAAATGGATCTCTTGAAGTCCATCTAGCCCATTGCTGTAATTGTCTGGTTACAGCCAGCTAAGACCTAGCACGCCCCAAATGTACTTTAACGTGCTTGTTCGTATTTATCTTTTCTCACACGTTATGCATTGTTCACTTTCCAGATAGAAAGGATTGATTTCTGATCTCCTTGGTATGGCAACAAGCTAGATTTTCAAAAGCACAGTAGACTCAGCAGGGAAGCCACCCACTTATATTTTGCTTGTAGATGTTTCTCCAGTGAGTCTGTGTTGCACTGAGAAAGCCTGTTGACAGGGGCAATCTCCTGAGCTTCCAGAACGTCTCCATTAAGCAGAACGGTTTTATAATGTAACCAGTTGGGGAAGATGTAATGTGTTTCCACAAGCGTCCTCCTTTCCATAGTAAGATCATTATTAAGAGAGTGTCCATCATTGTAAACAGCTCAAGTTTTGTTATTTATGTCATACCTGTGTGCTTCTGAAATGGAACAAAGAAAATGCATGTCAAAAGGTACATGTATTCATGGAGCATATTCAAATGTAGTAGGTGAACTCCACAATACTGCTACAATAAAAACTAATATCCACTAATTAATAGACAAGAAAATAAAAACAGACAAAGCACTCCAGAAAACGAGCTCTGATACAAATGGAGACTTTCATCTCCATCAGGCAAGCAGAGGGATGCTGTGAGATAGTAACAGTCATTAACAGCAGTAAAATTATTGCAGTACTGCAAACTTCTTCCAAGAACTGTTCCTCACTGCCAGCAGTCAGTATGCTTATCATGGCAGGGTGCAGTGCAACACTGCTCAAACTCTCTTCCTCTGTCACTTAGCTCTTGATATAAATCCATTACAGAATACAGCAGTTTACATAGGAAAAGGCAACTATATTCTCAGTTAAAAATACACTAAAATTCAGTGACAGAAGTAGTCTGTAGCATTACTGGAATGTTCCTTACCAAAACATATGACACAGCAACTGTGATCGTAGTTTCATGGAACAACAGAAAAAAGAAAAATGCTGTTTGTTTCATTCTCATTTTTCCAAATTAGGTACCAAATTCCCTACTTAATTACTACCATTCTTTAAAAACCGAGAAGATTCTTTGGGGGTGAGGTGGGAATTATTTATGTTATTAGTATTTATGTAGCTCCTGGTAAAAGCAAAATACTTCCTTAGCTATAAAAGCCCAAACATATTTAGAAAGCAAATTCTAAGCTTCAGGAGTTTGGTAGGCATAGGGAAGAAGCAGTGGTGTGGGATAATGACTGTCATTTTTTTGCTAGGATTAAAAACTGAGATGATATTCACTCTTTGTAGATGAGAGAGATCTATTTCACAGGCTGCTTTATAATAGAAAACCTCTGTACGTTGAATTATAATATCACTACAAGAAATATTTCACAGGATAGTTAATTTACCAATTCTGACTCCAAATAGCATATGAATTTAATTGTTGCATTTTATTACTGTAATAATTTTAAAACAACAAATCTAAATTACTTATCTAAAATAAAAATTGACTATATATATATAAAGTTTACCTTTGATCTGCAATTTAAATAAACTTGCAAATGTCATGCTGGAAAAAAATTAGGATACTGCTAATAATTGAAGAAGTTATAGAAAATCATTTGGGGCTGGATGCAAGCACATTAAAGTCAACTGAAATAACCCAGTTGAAATAAATGAGATTTAGATCAGGTGCTTATGAAAGAAAGCAGGTAAATTACCGTGTTTTCCATAGTAGTTTTCTTCATCTCTATCCATGTTACTGTACCTGGATCACTTTAGCAAGCTGTGTGAGATATTAATCGTGGACTCCTGTGTTGCTAGCACACTTTCCCCAGCAAGCACAGATACACAAAAATACTATTTAAATAGATTTTAAAATAAAGCTGAGTGTCACGGACTTCTCCAATCAGAATGGAAATTCACAAAGTAGGCAGGCCTTTCTGTGAATAGAAAGATATCACTCGGTGCCTTGCCCACCTACTCCAAGCCAGTCTGATAGTATGAATGAAGAGGAATGACTCTTACCAGCTGGTATTAACCTACAACGTTTAAGCAGAAAGGGAAATGTCTGCACCTGAATACCATTTGTGAAATAATCTTATGGAAGTCAATACAACCAAAAAAACTACTGATGATTTGCTAACTGAGGATAAGGTCTCACACTGTCAGTAGTTATTGTGCTTTTGTAGCCTGTGCTACGGTGAGAGAAGATAGTCTTCACATGTCACAGCGGGCCAGATCTTTCTTCCTCTATACACGTGACTAGGTCCCCCAAAGTACAAGTCATGCAAGTAGGAAAAACAAGATTTACTCTGACATGTTTAAGTCTAAAAGGTAGACTGTCTGCTGTATATCAAATTTTCATTCTTGTTAAGTGGAACATTTATCTGTAGAAGTAGTCATAACTGACTAAATTATTTTCTTAATAAAATGTACGTCTTATTTCTCCATAGCACAAAAGTGCAGAACAGAAGAGTTAGCGCTAGAAAGTCTTAGCATTGTTAGTTTAGATACTGTAATGCCTATATAGTGAAAGGAAGTACAAGGCATTGTAGTTAGTGTGTGAATCCAAAAGCCTGAAGCCATTTAAAAAAAAAAAAAAAAGCTAGCAACCTCTCCTTTTAGCCACAAAAGAACAGAATCCCCGTGTGGTGATCCTGACCCAGTATGAAATTTTCATTCTCTGTGGAATATGATTAAAACACAAATTGTAGAATTCTGTAATGCGAAACACATACACTTGTATATGCATTCCTACAATAATTTTACAGACAGGGCTGAACTACGTGCAGGAACAACAAAACTAATGTTTTTAAGTCAACCCTGTCACTGTGTAGTACACAATGATAAAGAAGAATGATCTCATAGTTCACAAATGATGCCTGTCATATGAAGTCACAGCCCATTTTGTTATTACAGAACTTAACAGCAATGTTCCAGTGTTTACTGAATGAGATAGATAGTATAACCAGTACCAGTAAACTAAGGTAGAAATAATATGATGAGGATGTAGACTGATCTTTTGTAAAATATTAACCATTGACTGAACTCTCATCCTTAACTACCTCCCAAGACTTCCTGCTATCCTTAGGCAAATACAAAAAAAAAGAAAAGCAGAGAAGCCAAGTGACTATGATTCTACTATGCTCCTACTCAAGTTTGCACTTCTGTCAAAGGCTGCTTCAATAAATCTTATTATAGTACAGTAACAGAAGGCCCTCAACACACAGTGCTAAACACAGATGTACACTAACTAACATGGCATTTGGCCAGCAATATATTACCCAACTCTAATAAAATGCTATTTCTACTTTAATAACTCTTAGTTTCTTCAGGTTTCTTCCTTGGTGTTTGGTCAACAATTACATGTGCCTGTGGCTAGAATAGGTGTGGCTTTTTAAGCGAATAGTATTTTTATTAGAAAGGCGTTAGAGCTGTGCGTGCATATGCTGCTTCCCTCTACTGGAGTAAATAGGTATGTTCAAGTAATTGAAAGTATTTGTATAATATGCATCGGCAATAGTAATGCCTCCTTTAGGGCAAGTGTACACAATCTGCTAATTCAATGCTCAAAGATACAAGTGCACAAGCCAACAAATTAGGCTCTTAATAAATGCTCGGGATGTATTAGGACTGAATGAGATTCATCCCAGTTGATGTTTCTCTAAAAAATCATATGAAGATTTTGATGCTTCTGCCCTTCTATTCTGGGTAGGAATAGGAAAAAAAAAACCCCACAAGTTCTTGCACAATTCCTCTATCCCTTTCAGAAGCAGAAACTTCTTGAACATATATGAAAGCCTAATCTTTGCAAGGTTTACAGTCTAATTTTGCAAAGAATCCAAATAAAAGTTTGAGATGTACTACTGTTTAGTAGAAGACAATTTAATTTTACTTAAAGATATTTTTTTTTAGGCAATCTTAAGCTACATTGTAAGTCACATGTAATGTTCCTTATACAGAAACAGCCTAATGATCCTAGCAATATAAAATAATACGTTATTACTGTAGGACACAAATGTGTAGAAGCAGTCTATTAAGTCAAAAGGTTGACATTAGTATAAAAACAGCTCTTCCAGTAAGTCTTGTACCTGGTTTACAGGCATACAGTTTTTTTTTCCTCTTTGAGAGATTCAGGTATAATTTGTTTGTTATGAGATCACACACTGGTAGACACATAAATTTTAATTATAATAAAAGCATACTTATGATTCCTTTCTTGGGTAATTAAATCATACTAAATGGTAGCTGCCTTTGAAATATCTTTTATTGTGACAGTACAAGTCTTTCTGTTTGTTGCTCCTTCAGCCAGAAAAGCTGGATGAATACAACTCACCCCAAATTCCACTTTTAAATCCCAAACACGACAACCTTTTCTGACTTTGGGTTGTGGGCTTGTTTGGGTTTTTTTTACTTCCTATTAGCCATTCATGCAGACAGATTTTTTTTTCCCAGAAGAACAATTAAATGTGTTCATCTTTTAAAAGTTGAAAATTCAGCATAGAAGTCTCAATGAATGGATGCCACACATTGAAATGTGAGTGAGCAATATCACTGCATTAAATAATTGTACTAGAGTTTTAATGTCTTGATCCTGTATTAAATCACAGGCTAGATTATGTACGTCATGTTTGCTGGAAACCTTGCATGCCAGGAGAGATCCCCTTGGTTTTTTCTTCATGTGTCCACACACGCATATGAGCTCCGGTACCACGAGCATTACAAATTAATAAAGTAAATACCCAAAACCTAAGTAAAATATTTGCCTTCGGATTTGAAACATTAATTTAGGTTGAACAAAATGGTACAAGTAGAAGCTATTGGGGACAATAAAATAACTTAAGAAATGGCAACATTAGGTGATTAAAGTCAGGGCTAAAGAGGGACTCTGGGTTCTTACAGTGGAATTCACAGCTCTATGTCACTTAGGCCATCTAACAGCAGCGAAATAGAAGTCTATCAAAACAGGAAAGCGGCATCCAGCACGCTGAGGCAGGGGGTGATTAACTTGCCAGTAGAAAAACACTGAATAAATAAGTGCATCTTCAGCTCAGTTCTCTACAGGTACTTGGGTACCTAATTCTGGGCAAAATTCACAGTCCTGCATCCCTCCCTGGAGTTTCTATCAAAAAACCAGACAAGGCATTCTTTCTTTAAAAACACAGATGCCAGAAGAGATGATGGTGCCTGTCTCCTACTAAACAAATACACTGCTCCAACTCAAGATGCAAGAGATCTAAATTCAGACCCACACTGCAGAACAGCAGGCTGGAAGACATTCCCTTATGCATGAACAGAAAGGTACTCCATGCAGCTGTAAGAGTTACTGTCAGAGAGAACACAGTTATGCATACGTTTGGGTAGCTCATAGTGGACCAACCAAGAATCCTGTCCCTACTCCAATATTTAATATGTAACATACAGCCAAACCAGTAAGTTCTTTCTTTCCAATATGAAAAAATCATTTTTCCTTCCTTTAAATGTTTTAACCAAAAATTTCTGATTATGTTATTAAACAGAAGTTAGTTTTTTTCTGCCAGATGCCAAAAGTACTCTTATCATTCATCTTATTAGAAATTCCCACAATGCAAAGCTTCAAAAAGATCTAACTGGTAACTTGGATTGCATTGGTAATAGTAATGAACGAAGAAAGTTATTAACAGTAACAAAAAACCATTTGCTCTATCATATGACAATCATCCAGATTTTGAAGCAAAACATTTTGCAACAGGTTTTTGATCAACTCACAAAACAGGAACTGCAGTAACCAATAGCAATCAGAACAGGCAAATTTTTATTAATGTACAGTGCAATAAATTCTCCAGTGAGCTACACACCCAAGGGAACAACTCTTCATGGTGCTATATACTTGCTACTGCATTAGACTACTGTGAATTCATTCCCTCTCTGGAATTTTCAGAAAGATTAACCCATGGGGAAAAAAGTTGCCGTTCAATAGCAGAACAAATGACACTAGTTGAAATACTGTCTTCTACATTCTCTAACCACTCCCACACAATTCTTCCAATTCATTTCCATGTCGCACATTCCTTTCCTCCTGTAGTTCTCCATCAGCTTTCCACTACATTCCCTGTTTTTCTGGAAAGGCAAAAGCATATGCAATGGGTGTTCTGGAATTACATTGTGATCACTGGCTGACCACTATGCTCAGGTTATTTGTCCATGGACAGCCACCACTCAGAATGTTCAAGGGGCTAACTAGGGAGGCAATGGTCATACAGGGCGCACTCACGAACTAGGCAAAGTGTTGAAATCCAAATGATATTTGAATCCAGTACTGCCTTTATACTACTGATACTGGCTCATCTCTTGCAAAAAATTGAGGGGTGAAGAGGGAAAAGGAGGTGGCAGATGAGACAAACAGCCTCATCACATAAGTGTCCTTTTCTTTACACAGTTGCAGGCACACAAATCTTCACATGCAAGTCACAGCTTTCCATCCCCATTCAGTCCGAGTTTCAAAAATGACTGCCACTGACTACAGTGGAGCTGAGGGCATTCAGCACTGCTCACAAATCAAGTATCACCTCCACAAGTCTCACTGAAGACCATGATAAAAGAAGAGGGGGACAAAACACAACAGAGTGAAAGACAAGGGTTTAAGGAGGTTTCAAGAAGACCAAAGTACTATGTATTTCTGCAGCAGTTTTACCCATCATACAGACTCCTTTGCTTCCCAGGCAGTCCAGGCCATAAGCACTACATATGTACATACCATAAAGAGAATTGCCTGG